TGTGCTGATACCTCACGAGTGTGTAGCCTAAGTAAGTGGTCCTTTGCTCAGGAAGCCTGAGGGTGAGCTGGGCAGCCACTTTTCTGCTCCCAGCTTGGCTTCTGACTTGGTCATTCTTCTGCATCCAGAGTTTCAGTCAATGAACTTGGGGCTGGTTCTCATGCTGAAGTTGCCATGGGCTCAGCATCTAGTGGATATTCTCATTGTCAGCAGTAAGTTGGAGGGGCCAAAGCACCTCGAGGACCCTGTGCGAGGCAGAGGGGAGGAGAATGGCAGCAAGTTACTGGAGCTGCAGGATGCTTTCTCCCCTGCTCTAGTTTGCATGAAGGTCTGAAAACAGCAGGTCCAAAGGCCAGGCTGCTGGTCTGTGTGAAAGCTGACTCCCTCAGGGGAGGACATCTGCTGTTGTCCATTAGTGCAAGTCATTTAATTCTGCTCGTTCTGCTCCAGACATCCCAGCCTCCCTATTGCAGCTCTGGGACTTGCTGCAAAGATCTAGCAGTTAGGGATGAAACGTTTCTTAGGTTGAGATGACAGATGAAAAGCTTTGCTGCCATGCACCTTAATGCAGCAGCTCTCCACATCCTCAGCCCAGAGCCACACAGCCTGGTAGGGCATGTTGGTGACTGCTGAGTGAAGGAGAACTCAGGGTAAGATGAGGAGGAGTGACTTCAGATGAATCTCAGAATCCTTCTGGTTGGAAAAGACTTCTAAGATCACCAAGTCCAACTGTAATCTCACTCTACCAGTCATTAACCCAACTCTACAGAGTCCAGTACTTAAGCCATGTCCCTCAGCACCACATCTACACGTCTCCTAAACGCCTCCAGGGATGGTGCTTCAACCACCTTCCTATTACAGTGTTTAATTACCCTTTCAGTGAAGAATTTTTTCCTAATACCTAGTCTAAACCTCTTCTGGAGCAACTTCAGGCTGTTTTCTCCTGTTCTTGTTCCCTGGGAGAAGAGACCAGCTCCCTCCTCTTGCTCCAGCCTCCTCTCAGGCAGCTGCAGAGCCAGAAGGTCTTCCCTCACCTCCTTGTCTCCAGGCTGGACACTCCCAGTTTCCTTAGCTGCTTCTCATAGGGTTTGTGCTCCAGACACTTTCCCAGCTCCACTGTCCTTCTTTGGACTTTGTCCAGTACCTTGATGTCTTTCTTACAGTGAGGGGCACAAAACTGAACACAGTACTTGGTGGAGTGGGTTCCTGGAGACTGGCATTTCACTTTGCATACCTGGTACTGGATCTTTCACACCTGCACTTCCAGGTGTGCTGAGAAATGAAATATAAAGCCCACCCCAGCCCTGTGCCTGCTGGCTGGGCACCCAGGTGAGTGCCCAATGTGTGTCTTCTAATCCCAACCTAAGGCTCAGCAGCCTCTGTGCACCAGGCCCCCCTCCTGCAGAGCTCCACACCAGCTCAGGAGGCCAAGAGACTGGTGGGGGCTGCCAGAGATATGCAGCTGTCCTCTCCCTTAGGGGAGGCTTTGGTTTCTCCCCAGTGTCTCCACTTGAGTAGCAGCCCAGCAGGGATGCTTGTAGGCAGGAGATGGGAACACTGACCTCTGCTAAGGAACAGGCTGCTGGGGTAGAATGATGCTAATCATAGGCATCTTCTCCACCAGCTCTCCAGGTCACCTTGTGTGTTTCATGGGTGTGCTGCTCTGGCCTTGGTGCTCTCAGCGGGTCAGTTCTTCACCTTTGGGTGGAGCATCCTTTCAGAAAGGAGGAGGATGTGGCTGTGGCTCCCCAGGGTGTTTCCCACGAGCTGCATGTGGGCATAGGAATCTCTCAGGCTTCGTTGCGTTCAAGACATGATCTTACAATTCTTCCCTGTTTCACTACAGCTCTGCTCTCCTTTGAGCTACTCAAACAATTCCCATAAGGACGTTTTCCTTCAACTATGATTAAAATTCCAGTTTGAAATCTGGTTTAGTTGTTCAGTCTCATCTGCAGTGCCACGGTCATGAATGACTCACCTTCTGTCAGGTGCACGTGAGATGCTGGTGCTGTGCTTAGGGGGTTTCATCTGTCAAAAAAACTGTCCCTGTCTCCTTAAAACCATTTGGAAGAGTTGTTGTTTCCATAAAATACCCTGGGTTTATTTTTTCTGAGTGGCTCAGCATGAAATGGAATTTGCTGAGTTATGTATGTGATGCAGATGCTTTGAATTGAGGAAGGGGCTCATTTGCTTTATTCTTTTTATTCCCACTTCAGCATAAAAGAGAAATGAGACTTTTGGGAAATTGATTTGTGAGGAGAAACATCCCAGAAAGGCAGTCAGAAGAAAAGCACATGTGGTGTGTTTGGAAGGAGGCGTGGAAGGGAACACATAATCCCTTTTTCTTTGAGGATTTTTTGGGCTCAGCCCAGCAGATGGGACTTGCTGTTGATACTTTTGCTCTCCATGGCTGTTTCCTTCATGTAGGAACCCACATGTGCTACTATGTCTCAAGTTATTTTGCCCTGTGGATTATAGTAATGCTGACTTTTTTTTCACTTTTTTTTCCACTTTCACTTTTTTTTCCTGGAGAGGGGAGTTTATGGGAGGGGTACTAGACCACAATTTGGGCTCATGGATCATATCTTAATTTCCTGGTGTCCTGAAGCCTCACAGGGCTAAAAACCATTCTCAGGAACTGCTTTCATGGTGTTAAGAGTCTGTGTTGATACCCAGTGGTATCCTTAGCTTTTACAGAGCACTTCCCATCAGTAGATCTTTGTGCATTTACCTGATGCAGCAGGAAATAAAAAGACCAAGGTTTCTGGCAGGGCACTGGCACTTCTCCACATTGTTAAAAAACCTGCTGGTATTTACCCCTTCCATTTTCAAAGTCCTGAGTGACTTTTATACTCAATACTTGTAACTATCAAAAAGTTTGATGCTGGTAGTGGCTGCAGGCTGACAGATCCATTCTGTTCTCAGCTGTTCCTTGTGTCCATGCTTTGACAACATACCTGAGTGGTCTGCAGTCTGCAAGGAGCAGAAGAGATGTGGTATGAGCATCTGCTGAAGGCAGCCAAAAATTCTCTTCCATCCTTGTTGTGAGAAGGCAGAAAGCCTTCAAGTATGTTTGGGAGTGACATGACTGTGTGTGTGAGATGGCTTTATGGTGGAGGAGGGACCCTCCTGTTGAAGCCCCAGGATTTCAGAGCACAGCCCCCTCACTTGCTGGGGTTCTGGGTGTGCAGTCTGATGTCCCATGTCTCAATCAGTGGTTTAGGACTAAAGGATTAATTATGTTTGTGTGTATGACCACTGCATGTTGGTCTGGCCTCAAGTGAGGGCTGCCCTAAGAACGGATTCCCTAAAGTGGCAAAACCAAAGTAGTTAGATATAAACCTGAGGGGATTTATTAAACTGACAGACATAACAAGTCTGAGACTGCCCTGACTGCAATAGTGCTATTGATAGATGTCAATGTTGAAGCAATAATAATTAAAAAATATACAACACACAATACATCAGGGGTGCTCTCACCCCATCCCAAAAGGTGAAAGTCATGGTATCTCACCCAAGGAGGTATCCCTGCCTGAGGGGAGGAAGAGAGGATCAGGCCCATTGACCCATTCCAGGGGAGCTGGGGCTGCTCAGCCTGGAGAAGGGGAGGCTGAGGGGAGACCTCATTGTTCTCTACAACTACCTGAGAGGAGGTTGTAGTGAGATGGGTGTTGGGCTCTTCTCCCTGGTGACCAGCGATAGGACAAGAGGGAATGGGGTCAAGCTGCTCCAGGAGGGGTTCAGGCTGGATATTAGAAAAAATTTCTTCACAGACAGAGTGGTGAGGCCTTGGAACAGGCTGCCCAGGGAGGTGGTTGGAGGCACCATCCCTGGAGATGCTCAAAAAACCACAGTGTTTCTTAAGATAGTTTAGTGGTTGGAGGGTGGATGGTTGGACTTGATGGTCTTAAAGGTCTTTCCCAACCTTGGTGATTCTATGATTCAATGATGTGTTCTCTCCTGCCAGTGAGTTGGGTCTGTCCTCCCTACCAGACATAAATCTGTCTCCTTGTCAGGTCCAAGGCTGGATGCCCAGTGAAGCACTGCTCCCTTTGCACTGCTCTGCAAGAAAGTTAAAGCACAACCCAAGTTCTGTTTTCCCACAATCCTATCATAAAAGCTGGGGAAATTTCAACTTTTCTTGTGCCAGTGCTTGGAAAAGGTGCAGTAAATACCAAGACACTAGTAATAAGGCTGAACAAAAAGGATAGTGAAGCTCATACACAGTTTGATATAGTTAAAGTTGCTTCAAATGTGTTTTGCAGCATTTCCAGTGATCCATTCAGCTAAAATCTCCATTAGCAGCTCAACACTGGTGTCTGGTGTCCATGGGTGACTTTTTGTGTTCTTGACTTTCAGCAGGGTGATACCCATGTATTTATTGGAAGGTATTCTAGCTGGCCTCTTGCTGTCCCTTGCCTCTAAAGATGGGCTTCTAAGTCATCCAATAGTGATATTTTTGTTAACCTTTAATTTCTTTGGTAAGGGTTGTGGTCAGTCTACCAGGTGGCCTTTCACAAATCAGCACTGACTAGCTCTGAAATTATTATATCCCTCCCAGTGGTGTTTAGAGATCATAGAACCATAGAATGGTTTGGGTTGGAAGGGACCTTAAAGATCATCTAGTTCCAACCCCCCTGCCTGGGCAGGGACACCTCAGGTTGCTCAAGGCCCATGCAACCTGGTGTTGAACACCTCCAGGGAGGGAGTATCCACAACAGCACTGGGAAACCTGTTCCAGCATCTCATCACCCTCCCAGGAAGGAACTTTTTCCTTATGTCCAACCTGAATCTTCCCTCTTTAAGCTTCAAACCATTGCCCCTTGTCCTCTCACTACACCCCCGTGTCAAAATCCCCACCCCAGCTTTCTTGTAGGGCCCCTTCAGGTGTTGGAAAGTTGCTATAAGGTTTGGCTCCAGTAAATTATGCTCGTGTTTATCAATAAAGTGGCTTTATTTTTGGCACCTTTTCAGTGGTTTCTCTGGCATTTCCCTTCCAGAAGAGCTGAAGGCACCCCTGGAGGAGTACGTCAACAAGCGCTACCCGGGGCTGGTCAAGGTGGTGCGCAACCAGAAGAGAGAAGGTCTCATCCGAGCCCGGATCGAGGGCTGGAAAGCTGCCACTGGCCAGGTCACTGGCTTTTTTGATGCTCATGTGGAGTTCACTGCTGGCTGGTAGGTGCTCAAGGCCCTGGTTAGAGTGTGTGTGTGTGATGCACAAAATGAGGGGCGGTCCATCGCTGCACAGAGATGTGTTTGCAAACAAGCCCACTGGTTTATTAATCCTGCCATCCCTCTGTGCAGGGTGGCCAGTGATGAGATATGATGGGAAAACACAAGGGAATTGTATTCCCTTGCCTTTGTTTTCTTCTTCTGTTCCCTCCTCTTAAGTGTGCTCTGCCCCCCTGTTTGTACTTTCAGGTTGATTTCCCAGTCCCTTAGCCCTGAGTAATTTCTCTAAGCTGAAAGAAGCCCAGGCAGCAGGGGAATGAAAGAGGAAACCTTCCTGCTTCTGTGCCTCTTGCAGCTGCATCCTGCTGGGAAAGGCTTAAGGGCTTTGAAATGAATTGTTTCTTCTGCACCTGGGAATAAGTGCAGAGGTGCAGAAGCAGCAAAAGGTGTTTCATAAGGCTTTGTTTTCTTCAAAGAGATTCAACACATTGGAGCTCAAGGGGCTTAAGACTGAGTCTAGATCATGAGAGGAGCCTGAAAGTGATTTCCTTTTTATATTTATTTTTCTAACCAAGTGTAAAAAGTAAATGGGCCCTGTTCAGAAAAGTGGAGGCAGAAGAAGCTAACTTTTGTCTGATTTGGACAGATCCCATTGACTGAAAAAAAAAAAAAAAAGCAGCTTTGGCAGCTGGAAACAGAGTTTTGTGCAGTGAATGATTTATAATATTTGTAACAACAATACAGCTCTTTAAGAGTAGTTTTGTATGTTGATATCTATTTCCAGCTAAATATTCCTCTCCAGATCACTACATCCTCACGCCTGATTTTATTGATACACAGAGGGAGCTCCCATTGACTGAGCTCTGCAAACAGCTTTTCTAGGGTTTTCTAGTGAGCTTTTGTGCAGCATGAGCTAGACTGACCCTGGTGTTACATCCCTGCTGCTGTGGCTGGAGGCACCAGGGGTGCAGGTTGCTCCTTGTGTTGGAGCCTGAGCCAAAGACACCCAGGGGCTCCTGGGCTGTGCTGTGGGGCTGAGCACACCCCTGCTCTGGACACATTTGAATGTCCCAGGAATGAGTTTTATAGTTATAGAGTTCTAGAACTGTGTCCCAAGGAAAAAGGTCTCTTCAGTTAGTCCTACTGTCAGGAATTGTCCTTGTTCTGCACGGAGATGTGTTGGTGGGTTTTTTTGGTTTTTGATTTGGGGGAGTCCAAAACAAAACACACCCTTCATTGGCCTCACTTTAGAGAAGGGAGGTTTTTGAGCCAGGCTTCCCAGCCTGTAGGTAGTGTTTTCATGTGGGATGTGCCCCCAGGACTGGCAGCACAGCCTCTGTGTGTGGTTACGCTGTGATTGCACATCACGGCTTTACACAGAGCAGCTGTCCAGGTGGGACAGGAGGAGGTGAGAGCAGCCCATGCTGCAGCCAACCAAGGGCCTGGCTAGCCCTGTGTTGTGCCACCAACCACAGCCAGAAGCTCAGGAAAACACCCACAGGCAGGGCTAGCCCATGTGGAATTCCTGCAGAGTGTGCTACTGAAGTCCAACAACTTGCAGATGTGAGGCAGACACCGTGTCTGTGTGTCTAACAACTCCCCTTGCTTTTCTCATGAGTTTTTTCCTCCTGTCTCTTGAGCCCATCTAAACTCCAAGCATTTACAGCATCCTTGGCAAAGGTTCTCCACAGCTTAACTGTGGGAAGAGATAACTTCTTGTTGTCCATCCTGAGCCTGTTTCCTTCGATGGTCCATAGTTCTTGTCTGGAAAGAGTCTCCAGGTGGACATTGAGCACCTTCTCTGACCTGCTCCTGGCTCCACCCTTGGGCCCTGCTGCAAAACTGACCCATAGTTATTACATTGTCTGGTTTCTTTGCTACCTCATTAACATTGTCGGGAAAGCTTGGCTTAACAACACGGGCAAGTTTAAAATGAAAAAGCTCAGAATATGGAATTACTGCTTTTTTAAACCAGCACACCAGAAGAAAACATGATGCACTAGTTCTGCAGGAAAAGATAAGGTCCAGTTTCAGAGGCTTTAATCCATTTCTGCAGCTTAACTCCTTGGTTTGTGAAAATAGTCCTTTCCTTGTGCTGAGAGCTTCAGCTGGCCCAGGGATTGGTGCAGTCAGTTGTGTAGGAGAGCACAAAACTCCCCAAACCTCCAGGGCTGCAACTCCCTGAGCTCCGTGCTCAGCACCAGCCCCCTGGGCTCCACGCAGGGACATGTTGGGGTGGGAAATCCCATCAAGTGGAAGCTCTGAAGCCTCTTGCAGCCTCATCCTTGTGGCTGACAAAGCTGGACGAGCCTTTCAGAAATAACCTTTTGAACTTGGCAGCAGGAAGGCTTTGCCTCTGGGCAGCATCTTGGGGCTGCGGGCCGGGCTCACTCGTGGCTCCCCAGGCTCCCCAGGCTGGGTTTTGCCCTGTCTCTCTGGAGATGTGGTGCCACTTGTGAATGAGAGCAGAGAGAAACCCACCCTGTTCCCTTCTGTTGGCTGAATGGTGACAAGAATGCCTGTTTTCTTACCCTCATTGAAGTGCATAAGCTGTGTGGAAGCTGCAGTGTCCGCCTGCAAATTGTGGGACATATCTCCAGTCAGTTCCTGTGCTGTTTGTTTTCTGCCCCTCAGGGCTGAGCCGGTGCTCTCACGAATTCAGGAAAACCGGAGAAGGGTGATTCTTCCCTCCATAGACAACATCAAGCAGGACACCTTTGAGGTGCAGCGGTACGAGAACTCTGCGCACGGGTACAGCTGGGAGCTGTGGTGCATGTACATCAGCCCCCCCAAGGACTGGTGGGATGCTGGAGACCCCTCACTGCCCATCAGGTACGTGGCAGAGCCTGGGAAATCCTTGCTGGCAGTGGGGCAGGATGCAGGGAGATCCAGTGAGGAAGCCAGGTCAGGGGTCTGGGATGGAGGATCTTAGCATGGGCCAGCTCAGAGAGGCTGTAGCAAACCAGGAGGGGTTGTGCTGGTGTGAAGGGATTTGTGAAGGGGTGTTATTTGGTAACAACAGGCAAAAGCAGTGGGGAGGTGTGTAGATTTGTACAGTCATGTTTAACTGCAGATGACAAAGTCGCTTTACCTTAATTACAGCATTGAGTTTCTGCACATCAGAAGGAATGAGGTGATTATTCCAGTGTAATGACCTGAGTGTGAATTTATGCAACACAGCACTGGTTTTCTGGAATAAAAAGTCCATCTCCTCTCAGGGCAGCCTTTGTAAACATGTTGTGACACTTCAGCTGACAGGGTCAGCAGCTCTGAAATGTTGCCCCAGCCCCTCCAGGCTTTGGATTTGGGACAAGCCTGTTTGGGCAAAGCAAAACAGGAGGGGAGGAAGCAGCCCAGTGTGGGTGGGAGAGAGACTGGGGCTGCTTTGGGGGAGGGTCTGTGAGTGTTCCTTGGTGGATGTCAGAAGTGATGCTATGATCAGGAGTGTTTTTCTGGCCAGGTGATAGGAGCTGTTGTTCCTAACTAGGTGGACAGGCTTGTCCTCAGGCTTATCACAGATGTGAACGTGCAAATCCACCCCTGATCTGAGTCTGAACCAAAATATCTGTGCTTTGGTCAGTGATACAATCCCTGGAAGCTGAAGTTAGGTCTGTTCTCATTTACACTGAGACCTGTTGTATTCCTTTGGGCTTCCTTGTTCCAGACAGCATATTCAGCCATCACTGGAGGAATAGTCAGTTTATTCTGGACAGGAATCAAGTCTTTGAGGAATAAACAGTTCTTTACTGAAGTGCAAGCTGCTTGACTTGTTAAAGGAGGGGCTGCATGGCTGGGGTGTGCAGAAGGCAAAGCTGAGGAATGCAAAAGCCTTTGCAAGTGAGGTGTGAGGTCTGGTGCTGCCAATCCCTGCAGCAGGGTGACTCCAGTACCCAAACTGGTGCCCCTGGAGGATCGTAAACATGGATTGGTTTGTGCCAGTCGATGGTTGGACTTAATCTTAGAGGCCTTTTCCAACCTTAATGATTCTATGATTCTATGACTGTCTCTGTTGGAATAAGCCTTTCTCAGCCAGTAGCTGTGTAAGCCAAGAAAACGTTGTAGGGAAGAACAGGCTCTTTTCTTAGACTTGAACTGCTGCAGCTGGGAGAGACAGTGAGGCTTTGGGCATGTGGGATGTCCCCTGTGCCTGTGGTGGCACCCCAGGAGCTTGCTGTGGTTCAAAACCTGCCAGGAACAGTGCAGTGAGGAAGCTGGACCCCAAAAATAGGACATTGAAATATTTGAAATGGTCTTCTGTGATATTGTCCTGCAAGAGCTTCATTTTAATTTCAGTTTCAGTGTGCTTTTGGGAGGGGCTAAGGAGGGCAAGCTGTGCCAGAGGTGGATGGGAGGGACAGGTTTCTTTGTGGGGGTTGGTATTTGATGGCGGGGAAGTGAGAGAGGGAAGAAGAGTGAGGGATTGAGGAGGAGAGATATGAAGAACCAAGGGTTGGAAGGCTGTGAAGAGGCAGAGAGGGGAGGGCAGCACCCATTGCAAGGGAGATATCAGGGTTTTAGGATGTAGCTTTGCTCCAGGCTCCTCAGGGATGAACCATTGTACAAAGCTGGCCACCAAAGCCAGGAGTGCAAATGGGATCATATGGAGGTTGGACACTTACTTCTCCAGGTCTACCAACACTCTTTTTCCTTGGTTCAGTGCTGAGAGGGTGCACACTTCTGATCTGCTGCTGTAGAAATGGAGAGTTTAGCCATCAGAGGGGTCTTCTTTTGGGCACTCTCTTACTAAGTTGTTCTGGTGGATGCTGCTAAAAAGTGGCCAGGCTGTTGAGCACCCTAGTTCTGTGTTGAAGGAGATTGCAAGCAGTGACTGCTTAGGAGAAGCTGGGAGGTACAAGAGGTTTACCAGCCTGTCCTGGATTCCTGCAACCTTTCTGCACCAGCTGCATCCCCTTGCAGAGACACAACCCTGGAGTGTGGGTGGTGTCCCATGAGCCCCACAGCATCTGCATCCCTGGGATGCTGAGGGTCTGCCCAGCTCCTGGGAGCTGCTGAGTTGAACCACCAGTGATTTAGAGATCAGAGGAGGTTTACAGAGACTGGCAGCAGCAAGGGTGCCAAGGGTGGATGCCAAGGAGCAGGGGTGGAAAAGCACTGCCTCCAGAGTGTGTCCTGGGAAAGGGCTGCTGTAAGAAACTCAGTCACCTCCCAGCCATGTTAAATAATTAAACAACTTACTAAAATAACATTGTTAACATGCACTGGGGGAGAGATTGTGAGAAAGATAAATGGGTAGTGTCCACAACAAAAAGCTAATGAGAAATACTGTCTCATTGCATTATGTTGTGTAACCACATACAGACCAAAAATAAATGGCTACAGTTATTTTTTTGTCATTTAATGGTATGAAAACTCTGCACTTTATGGCAGTATTTACACGAAAGGGATACTAGTGCACTGCTCCATGTAATTATGCATGGGATTAGAGGAAGCTCTGAAATTACACTGTACAGAGGTACATTAGTTTTTTAGAGACTTTTTAAAGATAAAAGAATGGGAGTGAAGTAAAGCAGCTTATTCCTTCTTTTGGTTTTGCTCTCTGGGGAGCCCCAGGAGTGGTTCCCCAGCTGGTGAGGGGTGCTGCTGGGTGCTACTGGTGAGCTATGGTGCCTCAGCCCCTGCAAATCCTCAGCAGCAGGGCCTGGAGACAGACAGCTGTGTGAGTATGTTTGGAGGCAATTTGCTCTCATGGATAATTCACAAGATATAATTACCCATGCAAAGGGAGCTGATGGCATGAAACCCATCTAAAATATGGCCCAGTCTCAAACTGGCTCCAGGCTCCTGCTTTCTCCTGTAATTTCCCTTCCAATAAATAGTCTCTCTTCATGCCTAGGAGGGAGGCCAGTGCAATACCTGAATCCTGTAACACATGTTTTCTTTATTGCCATTAACATAAAAAATTCTGATACACAGAGATACCTTCAGTCTGATTGGCCCTCAGCTGTGCATGCATTTCACAGCCAGACTTCCCTTGCCAGGCTGGCAGGCTTCCTCCAGCTGCCTCTGCCCAGGAGATAAAGTTGTGATACCAATGTAATGTATCATGTCTGAATTAGTGCTCACAGAAGAGGCAAACAGGAAGTGACATTTTGAAATGGTCATCATGTGGGTCCTGATCCTCATCAGCGTGAGATCTTGCACATGTATTTTGTTTTCTTAGTTCAGATGGTGCTCATGTGTGTACCCATGAAAACATGGTTGCATACACATCTGGAGATGCTTTGCTCCAGGAGTTGTAACCTGGATTTATCCAGATCTTTGTTAATAAGGATATAGAGAGATCAGAGTTTATTGAGAATCCAGGAAATCTGTTCATCAACCAAAAATGGTGGAAAGCTGATAGTTTCCACGTCCAGTTGGAAGTCCAGAATGGAAGTGCTGTGAAGCTGCAGACTGGTGACCTGATCTGCACATGGGGCATCCCAGGGTGGGATCCACCTTCTCATCGTCTCCAGGAATGAGTCATTTCCCACCTGGCAGAACATGAGGTTTTCCTGGGCTTCCTGGGGTCTGGAGCTTGTCCACTTCTGCAGCTCTGGTGGCTGCAAAACTCAAGCCCAGCAGTTTCTTCTGCCTGGCTTGTATCATGCTGCATCAGGTTGTGTCCAAAAACAGCAGCTTTGGAGAAATTGCTGATACCTGGAAGATCTACCTGAACGTGCTGATGGTGCTTTGGTTGCAAGACTCATGATTTCTATTTACATGTGTGAGGTATTGGTGGCAGCAGGGCTCTGATTCAGGAAAGCAATTAAATGCAGTCTTGCATCTGTGTCTCTTCAAGAAGCCAAGCAAGCAGGCAGTGCATGTGAAGAAGCTGTGAGGGTGAGGGACACTCACCTGAGCATGGAAATTGGGGTCATTGTGCTTTTCTGCTGGCAGTGGTTCCTGTAACCCACCAGAGAGAAAAGAAACTTAGATTTTTGCTGCTTGGTTGGAGAATCCATTGCCAGTGCTATGACCCCACAGGTCCCCACCAATAGATTATTTAGAATAGAAAGCATTTCCTGACTTTCTCTTCATGTTTTCCACACTTGGCTGGGCAGATCAGTTGAGTCTAAGCAGCAAAAGCAGTCCTGAATTGCTCCATGAGTTAGCAATTGTCATGTGCTGGAGCTGAAGAAGTCATCAGTGACTCCAGAGCTGACAAAGAAGCCTCTTCCCAAGCAGGGTGCCAGCTGGGAGCCAGTTAGCAGGCTAAGCTGCACTTGGATGGGGCTTCTTATGTGGTATTTAATCTTTACTGGTGTTAGAAGACAAAAACTCATTTAATTAGTATTAAGATCACTGCAAGGAAAAAATCAGTGTTGAGAGTTATGGACTGTGGAAGAATAGAAAGGCTGTTAGGTTTAGGTTTTCTAAATATGAAAATAATTTGAATTGACCTACCCAATTACCTGTTATCTCAGCCTCACAAATGCTAATGGATTTGCTTGTGTAATGGACTTATGAAAGAGCAAACTCTCATCTTGCTGGCGTAAATGATGCAGAGGTCCAGATGGAAAACCTGTGGGATTTTAGGTTATTGAATATGACACGTGAGTGGAGAGAAGGTGTCTGATTCTTCTGCTTGACAAAATGCTTGGGGTGTTTAATAGAAACTGTTCTCACAGTCCTGGAGTGTAGATGGTGCTGAGGTCTGCCACTTTGGTTGTTGTGCATTTCACTGCCAGCAAGACTACAGGGATTTGTGGGGATATTTTTAGTTTTTATATTCTCATATATAAAAATATATAGTCATACTACTATGTGTGTGTGTGTATATATTTAATTCCAGTAACCACTAACTTGTTTTTCCTTAGTGCTTCCAGCAG